ATGGGTCGAGCAAAGATAAATGTTTAGAATACTAGCATTAAACTAAGTGGCTTGATCCAAAATTTGTTTAGGACACCACCACCTTCGACTTCGACTCTTCGCAATGTTGCATTTTGTTATTATTTCATGCTGTAAAACAAAACTAAACTGTGAATCAAATTAAATTATACCAACATTCTCTGACTTGGCGGTGTCTAATAACCAATCCAATCCGGTTCAAGAAACTTGGACCCAACGCGATCATTAGGCCTGGGCAAAATACCCGGAACCGAATACCCGAACCGAAAAACCCGAACAATACCCGAACCGAACCCGAACCCGATTTTTAAAAATATCCGAATGGGTCCTAACCTCCTACCAGAAAAAAACCCGAACCGAACCCGAACCGAATCCAATACCCGAATGTACCCGAATATACCCGAATACAAATATACACCTAAAAATATTAGTTATTTTTATATTTATAATACCCGAAATACCTAAAATTACAATCATAAATCCGAATATATTAGGTATTTTAGATATTTTTGGTTATATTTGGGTAAAGAGTAACCAATGTATTTTCGAGAAATCGGGTATTTCGGTTAGATTTGGGTATATATGAGTTAAAAACCCGAACCCGACCCGAACCCGAAAATATTCCGGGTATTTTTGGTTATTTTCGGGTATTTTGCTTTTTTATTAAAATACCCGAACCGACCCGAACCCGAACCGAACCCGAACCGAATTTTTAGAATACCCGAATGGGTCTTGACCCCCTATCCGAATAGATCCGATACCCGAAAAAAAAGAACCGAACCCGAACGGGTACCCGAATGCCCAGGCCTAGCGATCATAATAAGAAACGGTCCACTGCCATCTCCGCAGTGTATTCCACATTTCCACTAGCAGTTTTTTTTTTTTTTTTTTTTTTTTTTTTTTTGTTAAAGGGTTTTCCACTAGCAGTTTCACATTATTCATGACACATTTAATCACAATAATTAATTATTAACTTTTGAGGCCAAAATTAAGATGTATTATCCTTACTAGTAATAAACGTGAAAGTTTTATCACACACGACATAAATTTTACATTAGAGTTAAAACACAGACACACCTATCAAGTCATACCAATTATAGTACGAATATAAAAAAGTCTTTTCCACATAATCTTCCTTTTTTCATAGTATCTAAATTTCATTGCCAATATATACCCAAACATTCTCCGAATATATCATCAGAAAACAAGAAAAAGAAAAAACATTTGTCTCCGAAACATATACATCAGCATACCCTATACCCTAGGTTTGCTATTATAGATGAACTACAAAAATATATGTTATTTTGCCACATATCGACCATGTAAGGTATTATTAGACGACTCTATGCCCAAACTTTTAAAAAAAATATTCTGTATTATGAAAACATTTGACTTATGTACAAAAATTATTGTTCTTCCATTACTTTGTAATGACTAGTTTTGACGAATTTTTCATATTAAACATATGTGTCTAATGAAAAAATTTTACTAATATTTTTATATTAAACCACATTTGTCATTAGCAATAGAACACACATAAATGTATCTAATAAACTAAAATTAAAAATTGTGAAAAAACATAATAGTTCTTCCAATATATACATTTTCTTTGGATTCAATTTCAAACAGAAAATTTTCACAATTTTGTTTTTTAAAAATAACTTCAGACCCTATAATATGGTATGGACTTGCTACTATATATGTGTCTAATTAACTAAACTACTATAAAAAGGAAAAAAATATTTGAGAAATAACTAAACAGCCATGTCAGAGGATGATCTTCCTTACCAAGTGAAAATCAACGGTCAAGGAGATCTTGAGACAATCGGACGGTTTGGATTTGATGATCAGATTGACTGTTTAGTGATAGCTCATTCTAAGGTGGACGCTACCACAGGAGATCTCCACACTCTGAGCTACAATGTTTTGAGGAAACCTCATCTCATGTATCTTAAATTCGACACGTGCGGGAAAAAGACACGTGACGTGGACATCACGCTCCCGGAACCAACGATGATTCATGATTTTGCGATAACCGAAAATTTTGTCGTCATACCGGATCAGCAAATGGTATTCAAATTAACCGAAATGATCCGGGGCGGGTCGCCGGTTATCTATGATAAAGAGAAAATGTCGAGATTCGAGGTTTTGTCAAAGCAAATCAGACCGGTTCGGGTATAAATTGGGTTGATGTACCGGATTGTTTCTGTTTTCATCTATGGAATGCGTGGGAAGAGAGAACCGAAGATGGAGATCCGGTTATTGTCATAATCGGGTCGTGTATGAGCCCACCCGATACAATATTCAGTGAATCTGGAGAACCGACCCGGATTGAATTAAGCGAGATCCGGTTAAACATGCGTACGAAAGAATCGAACCGGAAGGTTATTGTAACCGGGATTAATTTAGAAGCGGGTCACATAAACAAGAGTTTTGTGGGCCGGAAAAACCGGTTCGTTTACTTAGCAATAGCCGATCCTTGGCCCATGCAGTGGCATTGCAAAGGTGGATATAGAAAACGGCACCGTTTCAAAGTTTGATACCGGACCCGGACGGTTGGACACCGTTTCAAAGTTTGATACCGGACCCGGACGGTTGGATGGCGAACCGTATTTCGTACCGGAAGGAGAAGGAGAAGAAGACAAAGGGTATGTAATGGGGTTTGTGAGAGATGAAGAGAAAGATTAGTCGGAGTTCGTGGTCGTGGACGCGACTGATATGAAGCAAGTCGCGGCCGTGCGGTTGCCGGAGAGAGTACCGTAAAGTTTTCATGGAACGTTCGTCAAGGAACAAGTTTTTTAACTTAGGAGTGTATGTATATTCATAATAATGCTATCTGCTCTTTTTAGGTTTAAATTAAGTGTTGATATTTTTGATTATAAGAAAGGAGTTACATCTTCTTTATCCTCATTATTATTTATGGTATGATTCTCTAGTGTATAAAAAAATCTCTTACCGTATTAGGTTTATCGTAACGTGAAAAAAGCTTGAAGCATAGGTATACTATCATTATCATGATCATTTCAAAAATTTTAACACTTTTTTATATTACATCCAAAAAATTATACGACTATGTAACAAGTTTGGAATTCTTGGTTAATTGTCAATTAGAAGCAACCCAAAAATCAATGTCCCACCACGTGATCCAAAAGCAAAAGCATTAATGTTTTATATTCAACTCGTTTGATTGTAAATTTGTAACTATTAGCATTACGTTTGAAGTGGTCCATTTTTCCATCTAAAGTTTAACTATTTATGTAGAATGAGCATATAAATTATATAATGTGCAGCCAATACAAATTGTCACGAGAGAATCATCACTTACTAAGTGACTATAAAATCCATAAACCATGGGCCATATATTAGTTTTGTTTGAAGTGACATTTTAGTACAGTAGTTTATCAATGAAAGATTCTTCAGTCATCCGCACAAATTTCAATAATAATATGTCCATAATTGGATCATTGGAATCTAAGATAATTAATTATTGTAAGACAAATAATTGTTATTTTGGAGGAGCTATAAAGTTTTCCTCCAATAGGTCTTTAGGTGTTGATAGAAGTGATCGATATAACAAATCAATTTCGTTTTTAATATTAATTATTATGACAAGACAAATGTTTTTGGATAAAGGATAAGACAAATGTTTTTTTTTTTTTATAACCAATAAGACAAATGTTATAAGCATCTATATTGTTAAGAAAAAATAAAATGATATGTATGAAACAAAATGATGTTTGCTTTGATTTTCATGCTACTTGATCTCCTGATCTTCTTCACATGAATTTTTAGTTAGGTACTTAGGTTACTTGGATATAGGTTTTATTAGACTGAATTCGGGAATTTAATAATTAGCACATTTACATTGAGAAGATGTCTATTTGTTTTCAGTTTTTGCCTCTCTTTCAATCGCCGTCCTTACTTCTACTTGCTCATGCCCAACAAAAATTTAATTTACAATATCGAAAACAATATCCCAAAATTTATACCTACAACTTTCAGAAGTAATGCAATAGTTTACAAATATTAAATTTACCATATATATATATATATATATATATATCGTTTTACTAACATGAAATTTAAATAATTATGTATAACACATTACATATTGTCGTATTTTATGAGACTTTAGTGGTATTAAAATCCAAACTATCAGCAACAATTCATAAATGTTACATGGCGGCCGGTATATGGATTTTACATATACGAGAACACAAAAATTGAAAGAAAAACAACGTTTTATGAAATACTAAATTAGAACTAGATCAGGATTGATTCCATTTTTCGATGAGAGAAACGTCAATTTTAGAGAAAGAATACAAAATTGAATTCTTACACCGAGTAAAGCGAATGAAAATAAGGTAGACACATAAAACGACAAAAACCTGAATTTAGACGGAAAGCATGCACATAGTTGATACTCTATGAGTATCATTAACAATTTTTTAGTATTAATTTTAATATTTGTTTATTATTTGAGATTCTTTATGATACTGGTAATAAATCTGTTTCCAGTGGTGAGACCGGTATCGGTATCATTAATTAAAAAAAATTATTTAAAAAATCAAAAATAAATATATAAAAACATAATATTACAAAAGATAATATTACAATCCATAAAAACGTAGGATATACTTAAGCAAAAAAAACGTAAAATTAGAAGAAAAAAAACATTAAGGAGGGTGTATTGGACTTTGTATTTTAGGAGATTTGCTGGAATTTATAAATTTTAAATTTTTGAGAGACTTGATCAAGTTTTTAAGGGATTTAGTTATTTGTTAGAGTTTTTATATTTGAGAAGTAAAAAGATTGGTGATTTGGTGAAATTTATAATTAAATTTTGAGTGATTTTAGAAACAAAAGAAAAGGAGCAGATGAGTTTAACCAAAAACAGAAGTAAGAACACACATAAACTGCTTTTGTATACAAGAACAACATATAAGACATAAAACAACCATTTTCTATGTTTAGAGGATGCATAACATTAAAAAGTGACGACATGACATAAATAACTAGTTGTAGTCACAAAATCTACAAACATCCACTCTTTCTCTATAAACAAAACGCTTCCTGAATTACATGCAGCAAAGTTTTAATTTAACCACACATGCATTAAACCAAGAACCATGCTACTGAAAATTCTTCAGAGATTCAGCTAGAAAGAATAATGACAGTATCCATCCCAAGGGACCTTTTTGAGACCCGCCCGAAGAGATATCATGTCTCTTACCCTGTCACAAGTAAATAAAGTGCATGCAAACTTCTTAGTATATGACTTCTCTGATGAAGGTCTAAAAGAAGAGTGTTTCACCTCTCTGCAAACTCAATCTCTGTTTCACCGGGCCTTATGGTTTGAGGTTCCAAGTACCACACTTCACACACAACAGCCCATGATGTCATGAGTTACAGCAAGTGCATAATAAATGATTGTCTGCAAAAAGCATGCAACATCTTTTGTTACCAAGACAAAGAAATTCCATGTAGTCTGGGAGATAGATCATGTCATACCATTGAGAAGGTACTGGAGTTCCAAAGGCTTGAAAGATCTTCCTAAGTTGATCAATCTCAGTAGAACCCTGAGGAAAGAAACGAGAGATCTTTTTAACTAAATGTTTTGAAAAAAACAGAGATACTTTGAAACATAAAGAACGACAGGTATAGAACATTACCGGAAGAAATGGTCTACGAAGTAATAGCTCAGCAAAGATACAGCCTGCAGCCCAGACATCAACTCCTGCTCCATACTGTCGACTACCAAACATTGACAATAGACCTAATGATACCAGCAGCAGCTCTCTCAGAGTAATGACCTTGAGCTATAATCCTATCAAACAACTCACCACCAGCACACAACTCCATAACCAAATGCACAGATTGTCTATATTCATAAGCACCTTTAATCTCAACAATATTTGGTTGTCCAGACAAATACTGCATTATCTGAATCTCTCTCTCTTCACATCTTCTTTATCTTGCTTACTAATTAACTTCCTCTTAAGAATCGATTTACAAGCATAAGTGTTCCCAGTTCCAATCTATTTACACATATACGTAATCCCAAATTGACCTCGACCTAATTCTTTTCCCAAGTTGTAAGATTTCCTGATGTCTTCGAATGGTTTACCTAAAATCGTATCTGGATCTCGAACTGAGATTGGGTTTGAAGACGGCGTTGAAATCTGTTGAAGGATTGCTTGTTTCATGGGTTTGGGTGTTAGGATTTGAGGTTTACAATGCTCAGGGACTTGATTAACGACATGGGTTTGAGCTGGATTGATCGGAATTGTTCTTTCTCCGCCGTCGTTTTGAGTTTTCCGGTGTTTACTACTAACGCAACCCATTAATAAAGGAGGAGACTTTCGTTCTAGGGTTGAAGAAAGAGATGAGCTTGAAGGATGATTGAAAGAGAGAAACCCAGATCCGAAGAATTTTTTTTTGAATCAACAGAGAAGAAGAAGGAGAGGAGAGAAGAGAAGAAGCCCTTTTTTTTGTTCTTCGTCGCAACAGAGAAGAAGAAGAAGTAAATGAGTTTTGTTATTTTTTCTCTGTTTCCACGGACCAATGATGTTTCGCCACGTCGCACCAAAATGGGTATCAGAGGTATCAGTCCACTGATACGTATCAGACCCAATTGTGTTATTTAAACCATTATAAAATTATTTATGGGCTAATGATACTCAGAAAAATTCACCAGTGTACATGGTCTTATACCTTACATCATGTTTTTAGCTAACTTGTTTAGTAGTTTTTTTTGTCGCAAGATTTTTATTTTTTATTTACATTTTTAGGAACATAAGGTGGACACAACACATTGGACTTAGCCTAGCCCTGGGATTTCGGTTTTTTTTTCTGTTTTTTCGGTTCGGTTTTTTCAGCTTTTCGGTTTTTTTGAATTTTGAAAATGTTACCGAAAAAAACCGAAAAAAATTTCGGTTCGGTTAATTCGGTTTCTCGGTTATTTCGGTTTTTAATCTTAAAAACCAAAATTAACCGAAATATTTGTTTTTAAAAAAAAAAGATGATTTTTTCGGTTAATATTGGGTAATTTCGGGTTTTTTGGTTAATTTTGGATAATTTCGTTTTTTTCGGTTATGAACAAAACTGGTTTAATTTTCTGTAAACCGGTCTAATTGTAGTATATTTGGAAAAAATTGAAAAAAAAAAAAATTCGGTTAACCGAAACCGAACCAAAATAACCGAAATTTTTCGGTTAACCGAATTAAATTTAAAATCAAACCGATCGGTTTATGACCTAAAACCGAAACCGAACCGAACCACCAAAATTTCGGTTCGGTTAATTCGGTTCGGTTTTTAATCCCAGCTCTAACTTGCCCATAGAAAATGCTTACAAAAATTTAGATTACTTGAATAAAATACTAAAAATAAAAAGACTCAAACCTGCTAAACAGGAACCAAACTCAACTTGCATATGAGAAAAATTTTCGATGCGAGAAATGTCATTTTGACAAAAAGTACATAAACTGAATTATTTAACCGAGTAAAGCATATGAAAATAAGATAAACGTAGAATTCGCCAAAAACCCTAAATTCATATGGATGTCATAGTTTTAAAAATTTAGATTATAATAAGAAAATAAAAAGACTCAGGCTTCGAATGGTAACCATGCAAACCAAACCGCAATCAACGGCGGACCTATGTTCAACAAAGGTGGGTCAACTGACCCCCCTAAAATTATGAAATAGTCCTTAGTTCTAGCAATTATCACTAATTGATAACTTCATTAGTTTCTTTTTGCACCCCCTATTTAAATTGTTTTCTTATGCATCCATAATGAGTTTTTTTGCACTCATTAATTATTTTATTCATTTTATATCTAGTTACCTTGTTTAATTTGTTGTTTTCCAAAAAAAAGATCATCTACATATACATTTTTATAGTACTTTTTTGCTTTAATTCTTTTGGATCCGGGTTTGACCCGGGTTTTAGTCTATTCGGATCTTGGATTAGCAATTTAAGGGATGTTGTCTTAATTTCAAACTAATAAATAAAGCCATGTTGTCTTAATATCTTTCATATTAATGACCCTAATAAATAGCCGATTTTAATGGAAAATCGTTTTCATATTTATGCTCATAATAAATATCCAGATTTTAACAATATATACATATATTATGAAATTATAAAGAAAAAACGTATTTATTTTTTTAACAGTATATATATATATATATATATATATATATATATATTATGTTAATAAATTTGTTTAATATTTTAATAATAAGCTATGTCATTTTTCTTTTACAATAACAGATTAAATATAGGCAATTGCCCATTTAAATTGCAATAAATTTAAAATCAAAATAACAATCTATATATATATTTTTGCAGGGGTTTTTTGCTTTTAATAATTTGGATCCGGGTTTTACTCGGTTTTACTATATCCGTATCTTGGATAAGACATTTAAGGAAATCTAAAAAAAACCGTCATTAATGTAGATAATTACACATATATTTCGGTATAAGCATATTCCAAAAATCTCTCCTAAATCAAAGATGTTACGTTCAAAAATTGTTGCCAAAAATCTCTACCATTGGCTGTCATCCCAACTAATTACTCATAATTATCTTTCCTATATTTCTTTTTTTTTTCGAGATTTGCAAGAAAATTACTCAATTCCAAAAATAAAAGATTTTGAAGATATTGTTACTTGATCAGCAAGATTTTAGGAACTCACTCACCCAAAACCCTATAGTATTCTCAAAACAATATAAATACCTTTCATTAGTCTAATAAAAACTCACCAGTTTTACAGAAAATGTGAAATCGCAGACGTGATGCAATCTGTACGGACTCCGGGAAGAGCTAGGAGACAGTGGTGAACCGGGATCTAAACCTCGCCGACGATGTGAAGATGGTGACGAGGAGGAGATCGTAATTCTTTAGGTTTCGATTGGCAAAACAAGACGATCGGCGATCCAAAGCTCCACCGCCTGAAACGCAACATCGAATTGATCACACCGAATATCTTCAGATTTCGGATATGCTTTTCCGGTGGTAGCTTCAAAATACACGCCGAGAACTCCTTGATACGCTACACGGAGAGTAGATCCATGCGTTTTGCTGTAGCTTTGAAGAAACAAGGCTCAGATCGACGGAGCCGTTACTGTGACCGTTAACGACGGAGTTTGAACTTTCCGTTTCTAAGTTTTTCATTTTGGGTATATGAGAGAGTTGAATAAAAACAATTTGGGCTCTTTAGGTCTTTACAAAATTGGTAGACATGATTCTTTGTTATTGGGTTCTAATACTCTATGTGTTTATTTTTTCATTATGTGAACTAATGAAAGTTGCATACTTAATTTTTTTTTCATGGCAGTTCTAAACATATTATTTTTAATATTTGTGATTATATAACAATAATAGGTTAGTGTTAATTACATGGATCATTAAGGTTTGAATAGTGATAAAATAATTAGAAAATACAAATAAAATAACAAGGCCGGTGCAAAACTATTAATTCAGACCTTAATTATCGGATCAGTTCAAGCTTTAACCCATGTCTTTTTTCTGAAATTGCTAAAAATAAGTAATGTTCTCAAATAAATTCAAATATCAAATCTTCATAAATACATTAAATACATAAGATTTAAAATTATGGAGCAATCTTTTCTAATTAAATTCAAAAATTTCTAATTCAAAAATTTCTAATTGATATATTTAAATTTTTTGGCTTTTGTTTGCCCATTTAGCTATGGTTTTTGAGTTTTTATAAAATAGTTTTAAATATTACGGGACGAATTGTATGACACAGGTTTGGTTAGGATTGATATTAATATAAATTTAAAATATCACTAATATATCGCTATAACACATATTAAATCCTCATTTTATTATTTAAAATTTAGCATACGGTATACCGCGGGTAAAATTAGTATAAGACGGGTTAAATCAGCATCTTATTCAAAATCATACAATTGAATCTATTGTTTTTATACTACGTCTATCTATAAAATTTCAATTTTTGTAATAAAATTTCGTCTCACAGTGTATTATACATTTAAATTAAACAAAAAAATAGTATATATCTATAGAGTATCTTAAAACAAAATTTAATAAATTTTTCTAATAAAAATATAGACCCGCGGTGTACCGCGGGTTAACATCTAGTTCTTTATGTATTTTGATTAAAAAAAAATCTAAAATTTCAAAAAAATACAATTTTTATTAATACATACAGAAAATTAATTTATGTAATTTTTATCTTCTTAACAAAGTTAACAATATTGACCCCGGTAAAATATATTTCTAGGTCCCCGCAATAGTAACAAAAATTTCTACATATACATATGTATATATTTTTGATACTATTAGAATCGCAATGCACTTCTCCTGCTATTATTCTGCACGTTCCCATTTGGAGCCTCAAACCCGCTAAAGGGGAACCAGGCTCAACTTACAGATGAGATAATTTTTCGATGAGAGAAATGTCATTTTTATATAACTACATAAACTAAATTCCTTCACCGAGTAAAACATATGAAACTAAGGTAGAAACAAAAAGCGCCAAAATCCCAAAATTCATACGGATGTCATAGTTTTTTCCTGTAATTTTAAAGTTTTAAAAAAGAATTAGTTAACATAAGTCTTGTGCACAAGAAAACAACAAGTTAATAAAAGAAAACTTTAGCAAGAAGAATAAATCAATCATTTAAAGAAGAGTAAATGTTTTACTTGTACCTTACATCATGTTTTAGTTATGTTTTCAAAATTGTTTAGTGGTTTTTTATCCTAGCCGAGATCTAACGAGTCCCTACTCGAAAATGACTGAGCGACCGAAGATTCAACGCCACGAGACGCTCTCCGAGCTTAACCCTTGTTGAGCGACAAATGGAGATAACTTTGTTTGACAAATTCACCAGCCTATTTACATCTAAAAACAAACGCGGACGAAACTTTTTATCACACCATTACGACGTTTCGACGTCATCAAAGATGAAGGGATCTTGCCTCACCAGGCCAGAAACTTCGATGGAACACTTCTCAGAGGAAAAATTTGCCATCCTCGGAGCAACTTCATCACCTCAGGGGAGATGATCATCCCGAGTTTAATCGCATCAAAAAGCTCCACAACCTCCGCCAGCCGTTCAATGACGTATGTCTTTAGAAAACCCGATCGATTAAAACCTCTTTTATTTGTTTCATCTCTTTTTTATATACTTTTATTACCATTTTTGCAGGTATAACATTTTTTAATATAATTAGCAATAATGTTTTAGGGATGGGATTACCCATTGTAACATCACAACTTCGTACTAAGAAAAAGAACCTAAAACCTAGTACAATTGCACCTTGCCAACATGCACATGCTACGAAATCCTCTAATCAATATATACATATACACATGCAAAATGCTTCACACCATTTATTGTTTGCACAAAATCTAACAGTAGTTAATGTTTACTCATGCCTAACTGTATTTGTCAGCTTTTAGTAGTATAGCCATTAGTCTACGTAGAATTTTGTGTACGTAGAATTTGCTTCGTAAAAATTAACTCTTGTCTTTTATCTTCTCGCTTACATTACATGTGCCTTCATCACCACTACTTTGCAGATTCTTCAGAAATCATTTTTTTGTTTGTTTTAAACTTCAGAAATTGTTTGTCTTCAAAATGATGTATGATGATTGTTTAACGAAACAAAATTCCTAGCAAATATTTGAAATATCTTATCAATAATGGAAATAAAACTCTATATTTATTTAATTTTCATGTTGAGATTTTCTTTTGGGCAAAACATTCTTGATTTTATTAATTTATACTAAGTACAAAGTTTAAATAAACATCAATCTCATGGTTGGAAACATCAAAGATAGTTACTAGCATTTTTACAAACGAATGGTAGAGAAAATAGATACGATAATTCGACGAAAAGTCCATACATCGAAAATAAGAACATGATAGTAACTTACCACAAGCGAGAGAATGGTGAGTAGAAAACAATTTCACAAATACTTAAGAAAATTGTTGATTGGTCACATATAATTTGTTTTAAGGTGTATGTGTGATGGAAAAAAAAAACCAGATTTATATTTTAATAACTGGATAATTTATTGATCCAATATCTAATTTCAATCATTCAATGTATATAGTAAAATAATATCTCAGTTCAATCAATATTTCGACAACAACACAAACGATCCTTACCATGTTCTGGCATACATAAAGCATTCTTATAAGGTGGTTTGCCTCCACATTTCTCGAAACAATCTTCTCTTCTCGTACAAGGTGTAAACGGGATATGAGTATAACTTCCACAAAAGTCTCTGCGGACTTTTATCTCACGAGTGGCTTGCACATTGTTAATAAGAAGAAAACATACAACAATGAGAAGAACAAAACATTTAATTTTCGACATCATTTTTTGATGAGTTTTCTACTTTATAAGTTAATATGTAATTTTTTTGTGGGTGAGAACTAATCATGGTTGCTTTATATAGTTTTATTTTTTTTTTCTTTTTTCTGATGTTTTGGTTTTAGCTTGTATAGTTAGAAAATCTAAGATAATTATAAAATTGTTTTAGCTTTTTAAAAGTACATAGATAATTGTTAGAGATAAGTACATGCACTTGTAAAGTACATGAATATAAATATATATATATACACCTTTATGCACACCAACAGAAATATATGTTAGAATTAAGTAGATGTATATCATCATCAGTTATACATGCACATGTTAATTAGTGGTAATTACATGTATATTATCAATAAAGCACACATATACACTTATAAACATAAATATGTATATATAGCATTACATGTAGTGTTTCCAAACATTAGTCAAATATCAGATCTTATTGCTTTGACATATTTCATCCACTTATTTATTTTTGATTAAATTTAATAAAAATACAAAAGACAATGAATTTTCAATTACACATATAGTAAAGTATGTAATTCAGAAGTAAGAATAAGAATTGTGAATAGATAGGATTAACCACCTTGTCATACATATGCTTTATTAAGTATAGCAATACAGAACTATATATTTAAAACTCATTAAAAATATAATAAAACAATATCTTTAAAAATCACAAAACTTTAAACAATATCTTAGTCCAAATAATTTACTTGTCAACCATGTGGGAGAGCTTTGGGTAAAAGGAGATGCATCCCCTAATAAATAAAATTAAAGACATATTTCTCTCCCCTCCATATAAACAAGTTTAAATCGAAATAAAAATCAATTTATGTTAATTTATAAACAATGGACATTAACATGAAAATTATAGGGAAAGTTTTACAATAAGACATTTTTACAAAGTTTGTGTTCAAAATAATACACTTATAGGTTATGACACACATTTTATGTTTTTGTAAAATTTTTTGGACAGATTTACCTTTTTTGAAGAAAGGGCATGGTTATGTTAGGAAAATTTAGGAAAATTTTGCCAACAAATAGATGCATGCATTTTGTTGGACAAATTTAGCTTTTTTGCCCTTTTGTATATATTTTTTTCTTTCTTCCCTTTTTATATATCTCCCTTTTTTTCCTATCAATCACTCTTTTATCATATTAGTTAATAAATATTATATATACTAAATGCATATTCTACGCATTGCACAGAATTTTACAATTAAATTATTAACAATATAATTTGTTGAATATAAATATAATCATTTGAATTTTTCAAGATAAATATATGTATATAAAACATGTATCATATGAATTTTTAAATATTATTTTTGAAAATTTTAAATAGTTGTTATCATTATTTTGGTAAATGTTTTGCTTTTACTTCCACTTATAAACAATACATAACATTACATATATTTATTATAACTTATTTTTTTTTATTGTAGTTTTCACATCTTGCATTTTGTATTACAAATAAACAAATTAATGTTTTTCGATCACAAATAGCATTATAATATTTTTTCTTGTAATCTTTGACAATAACATTATTTCAAATGATATATATATATATATTTAATTGTATTCTTCTAATAAATATTTTTTTTAAGATTGTTTAATTGCGCTTAAAAATGTTTTACATAAAAATATCATATTTTTTGTTTTCACAACAGTTACACACAATCAACACTATGGAATTACTTTTGGAAGTGATTTTTAAGTTCCAATGAATTCTTAAAAATATCATAGTTCGATTGACGAATAACAATAGAATAAAATGAACAAGTAAAAAAAAAATTATTAGTAGACATACGAGTCAAAATAATAACTTGTTTACTAAAAAAATAAACTCCGTATCTGATTTTTATTAATATGAGAGAGAAAAAATAAGAAACAGTTCGTGGGGTTTGCAAAAAATGGAATTGATTTTTAAGCGCAATTAAACAATCAACAAAAAAATGGAAGTTGTTATAGACCGCATGGTCGGACGGACTCCATAACCGTGGCCCATACACATGTTCTAGAAGGTCCGGCCCAACGGTACGGCCCATCACGAGAAGACAAGAGGAGGTCTAAGTATTAGTGGTTCATGGGCCTTATATTCCTAGTCCAATTAGGATTGTAACCTCCTCATGTGTGTATATATAAGTTGTAACCTCCATTCATAATCAATAATAAGAACAAGAATTCACAAGTTCTATAACACGTTATCAGCACGACTTGCTCTTAACGAAATCTAAGAACCCTAACCCTAAATCGCAAAAGCCTCCACGCCGCCGACCACCGCCGCCCAACCCTAACTCGCAACCGCCGGCCGTTTGCTTCCTCCCTTGCTCGGCGATCTCCTCTTAGCCACCAACGCTTGTGATCAAGTCGAAAACTGAGGTCTTTAGCTCCCAGTTCTATTCCGTACAACCCCTTAAGGTGAAAGGTAAAAACGAAACCCTAAAATCTAAAGACCAACCATCGAACTTGAAACTAGAGACAGAGGAACCATAAAACGAACCTTTGATTGATAAGCGATTGTTGTTGCTTGTGAGATCCGATTGCTTGACTTGTTTAGGTTGCTAGAAAGTTGTTATTGCTTAATCCAAACTCGCCAAATCGAAAACACTTTAATCTAGAATCCAAAACCTTAAAAGCTAAGAAACCTAAAATCTAAATCGGATCAAATCCGAAATCCCTAAATAAAATCGGATTGGTTGAGGTTGTTAGGATTGTTTAGATTGATTGTTTATGATTGGTTTCATGCTAAAATTATTAGAAATCTAAAACCTAAAATCGCATGAACCCTAGAAAGCCTAGAAAAGGAATAATCCCATTGTGAATGGGAAAATCCTAAAAACCCTAAATTCCTATTCTAAATAGGAAAATTCTAAAATACCTAATACTAATGAAATACGTGAGTAGCCACAATTTATAAATTCATCAAACCCTTTGATCATTGGCCATGGTTCTATACTTGCATATATTAAAAAGAACTCATTTCAGAAAAACGAATGACTTAAAAAATTAACACAAGTTAAAATCAAGTATGAATAGATAAACAAAACTGAAGCAAATGAGTTCAAAGTTTAAACCAATTGTTAAAAAAAAATTGCATCAGAAACTGTCGCTTGATCAAGAAGAACGACGGTGTGCAATATCTTCATGTCTTCTCTCACGATAAGTAAACCGCAGGAGACGAACATTACCATTGTGAGTTGTGACGATCTGCAACCTCAGTCGTCATCCGAAGCACCTCACGGAACATTGGCGTCGTAACCTCGGTTGTGGTTTTCCTTAGCCAAGTCCCTGAACTGACAGATGGCAGTGCGCTCGTCAAACCATCCTTGTTGGTACTCGAAATGCATGAAAGAGTGACGAATCCTGAGTAGCGTGGTGTGATGGTGGTCAGGGCCAGGCATGTTGGGGCGTGGAGTGATGCAGAAGACGAGGTGGGTGAGTCTGAACTCGGGAAGACCCCATTCTTGTATAGCCCTCATTTGTCCCTTTCTCCTCAGCTGAGAGACTATTACCATTGAACCCACCCGATATTTAAATTCAACTTCATTTTTTTCTCTTAGAGGGCAGCACTACGAATGGGAAATAACACATTCAGAAATGGATGTATATACATTCTTCATCTCAGAGTTTAAGTTTCTCAGCACTTGCAATATGTGAGCATGCTCATGGTGGTTCAAATCCTCCATGAGAAAAGTTCTAAGCTGTCCATTCATCTCAATCACACTCTGGCCTGGTACTTTCTCCATGGCCCCATTTCTCATTAATTTCCTCACTTTGGCCACTTCCGTCCACTTTCTCGCAGTTGCAAAAAAGTTACAAACCAGCGTTTGGATCCCGGTGCTATCTGGATTCAGCTGGAGAATCTTATTAGCCGCGATGTCCCCGACTGATAAATTCCTGTGATTGATGCATCCTGAGAGAAGAGCAACCCAGATGGGTAAAGCATTGTCGAGTTTGGCCGAGTTTATCATGTCAAGAGCTTCTTCGACTCTCCCTGCACGTGCGAGGAGATCGATCAAACAAACGTAGTGTTTTTCGCTCGGTTGAATATTATATTTGTTTATCATGACGCTGAACCAATGTTGGCCTTGTTCTACGAGACCCGAGTGGCTAAGAGCAGAGAGAAGGGATGCAAACGTGGCGTGGTCTGGTTCTATGTTAGTTTCCGTCATTTTGAGGAACATTGATACAACTTCTTAACCGTTTCCATGGATTACATAACAAGATATCATTGTGTTCCAACAAACCAAGTCTTTCCTTCCTACATGTTCAAAGATTACTCTCGAACTTGAAAGAGCGCCGCATTTTGAGTACATGTCCATCAGTGCAGTCGCGGTTATTCGATCAAGAACGTGCCTTTTCAAAATGTAACAATGTACCGATATACCAGTCGTTAATGACCCAACTTGCGAACACGCCACAAGTACTCCAACAAGAGTCGCTAAATCCAGTTGAAACCCAAGGCTCTGCATCTCTAATACTGCTTCAAAAGCATAATTGGCTAATCCATTTTGAGCAAATCCAGAGATCAACGACCCCCACGTGACCGCTGTTTTAAACATCATCCTACTAAACATCCTGAAAGCAACCTCTATAAACCCAACCTTAGCATACATATCAACCAAGCTGGTTTCAACTACAGTATTCATAGGAAGACCTGTTCTAATCAAATACCCGTGAACCGAACGGCCCATTTTCGGATCCCCGAGATCACCAGAAGCTTGTAAGAGACCCAACATCACAACCCTATCCCTACCAAATCCTTCATTTTGCATTTCTCTGTAAAACTCAACAGCCTTCATTGACTTACCACCTTGTGCAAATCCTGTCACCATTGTTGTCCAGCAAATAACATCTCTTTTCGTCATCTTTCTAAACAAAACCTCAGCTTCATTCATTTTCCCACACTTCATATACAGATTCAAGACAGATGAACAAACAAAGACATCATTTTTATACCCAAATTCAACTGCTTTACTCCATACAGCTTCTCCTTTCTCTAAAGCCATACCACTCAAACACGCTTTGATCGTTATAGTGAACGTTGAGCTATCTGGTTTAACCCTTTCAGATATCATCTGATCATAAAGTTTCAAAACCTCATTCGGGTTGTTTCCACGAGAATAAACCACAATCATGGAGTTATAAACAGAAACACTTCTCTGAGGCAATTGGTCGAACACCTTACGTGCATAAGAGATCTCCCCGATTCGTCCATATAAAGCAACGAGATCGCGACTAATGGAGCTTCCATTTAGTAAATTACCGGAAGTAATTACGAAAGCGTGAACCTGAGCAATGTGCCGCTTGTAATTACTAGCAGATAGCAAAAATTTGAGACGTCTCGGACACAAGAGAGTCCGATGTAACATGCAGAAAATGTTGTCTGTTACCTTCCAAACCAAACCGAATATTTCAGACCAATTTGAACAAAATGAAGTCAACGCTTCGAATTTAAAAACTCTCTCTCTCGCGTTGGTTCAGAATTCAGATGTGTGGATTTTTGATTTAGCAAACCGGAACGCACCGGCCGGTTTAGGCATTTATACGAGAACCGAAGTAACTAATTTGTTAAGAGAATAAGACTTTGGTATATATGAGTTGCATTCAAATTTTTCTTTGCAAACTCGTAAACAAACAAAATTGAATTCAACCAATTATGCAATAGATGCGTACATTTATATTATTGATCTTGTGCAAACCATCATATAATATTTTAATCATACACATTTTAACATTTATATTCTCAGCTGTGATATGAACTCTTTATAACTTATTCAATAACATGAAAGATTTAAACTAATTCTAGCTATTGTCAAATTTCCATTTTCTTGATGATATGGATAGGTAACATTATGATTACAATTCAATCCCTATTTCGGTATTCCCATTCTCCGAGAGTGAGAAGTATTGAATAACAGAATACTGCCAATATCATAGCATTAGTGAATTTGATACGTTTTTTTGTGCTAAAAATGTACGTTTTTTTATACTTGAAATTGTCGGGAGGGAAGCGGATGGGGGCCGGCGATGCGTCCCGGTCGGATGCGGAACGGAGCAATCCGGTCCGCCAATCGATTTGGGGCGTGGACCGACGCGGATTACGGCGGCCCCCTACCTCCGGCTGAGCCGTTTCCAGGGTGGGCAGGCTGTTAAACAGAAAAGATAACTCTTCCCGAACGTTCAATTGACCCAAAAACATCAATCGTTCCCCGACTCCTCCGAAATATTCGGCTGAGAAGTGAGTTTCCACCAAAATTTCTTCAGCAACTTGGTCTCCAATCAACCTACAAAGACGGTCAACAAACTCAGATGCCAAAAGCCAATAGAGATTTTGAGTTTGAGTAAGTTTGCAAAAGTCAATGTTTCATCACGAATGGTACTCAAATTCTTCGCTCTCCTCCTTTTGGCCACCCAGTCCTTAGCGCCACTAAGTTTCTCAATATTTGTCATCTTTTCGGTTCGAATATATTCCTTTGAAGCTTCATCTCTGTCTCTGATATGGTGTCTCTCTTCTCTTGAGTACCGGAGCCTTGGAAGCACACATCTTTTGCTTGCTGGGAAGAACAGGGAAGGTGAGGAAAGAACAGGGGTTGGTGGGAAGAAGAGGGGGAAGAAGAGGGAAGGTCTAAGAACATAAAGCATCATCGTTCCGCCGTTGGGTTTAGGGTTTTCAGTTGTAGATATATATAGAGATAGACATTATAATAATGGAAATGGATATTATTAGTTGAAAGTTGAAACTCAATAAGACAAGAGAAAAAGTAATTCAGCTTTTCTTCTTTTTTTTTTTTCCCAGCTTTTATTCTTTTAATTGTATTTTTATTTTTAAAAAGAAAGATTTGCATATCTAATTATACAACATATATGTATATACATTTTAAATTATATATTTGTAAATTTGATTTTTATATTTTTAAAAAAGAGTTAGATGTGATGTTTCGTTTTTGGTTTTATTAGAGTTAGGTTTGATGTTTTTAAATTAATCTGAGATATTTGAAATCCTAGGAAACATACTATCATCTATCCTCCCTGGAGATCAGAATATAGGATAATACAAAAGTTGTCTTGTTTTGTCGTGAGATATGTCTATCTTTGCTGGAGCTCACAACGTGATTTAATTTGATGTCTTGTTTGGTTTTGTCTTGTGGTGGTCATTTTGGATGTGTCACATCTGATAGACAATTAGACCAAGTTTGACGAACGACGTTTCAGTAAGACTATGAAAAAGACTATGAAAAACTTTCGGAACCATAGATTGTTGTTAATATATTTTTGAAAGATACTTTTTCTTTATTATTTATGTGATTTTTAAAGTTGTTATAACATATAAACTAATGATTTAAATTAATCAGTGAAGTAGTTTAATAGAGCCTCGTTTTCTTTATTTCGTCCTAGTCCTAGGATTGTTATATCATTAGTGAATTCGCTATGTATTACATATGATACAGTTTTTTCGCGCTAAAAGTGTACGTTTTTTTTGTAGTGAGTTTCCACCAAAATTTCTCTAGCAACTTGGTCTCCAATCAACCTACAAAGACGGTCAACAAACTCAGATTTTCCAAATTTAAGTAAGGTCACAAATGCCAATTTAGCTTCATCAATGACTCTTAGTTTTTTAGCTTCCCTCCGTTTAGCCTCCCATGTTTTAGCTCCAAGAATCTTCTCCGCATCGGTCAGCTTTTTTGTGCGATTATACTCTTTTCCAGCCTCATTTTTCTCTCTTGCAACTTCTCTGTCCTTTCTTGAGTAATGTGTCTCATAGGACTAACGTCTTTAAAAACAATTTGATTTAGCAAACCGGAACGCACCGGCCGGTTAAGGCATTTATACGAGAACCGAAATAACTATAATTTGTTAAGAGACATGTATTTGAAGACATTTTGGTATATAAGTTGCATTCAAATTTTTGTTTGCAAACTCGTAAACAAACAAAATTGAATTCAATCAAATGCAATAGATACGTAAATGCATATTATTGATCTTATGCAAACCATCATACAATATTTTAATCATACACTCCTTATAACTTACTTATTTCAATAACAATATAATTATATTCTCAGCTGTGATATGAACTCCTTATAACTTACTTATTTCAATAACATTCTCTAGGAGGAGTTTGGTATTTAGAGCGATCAATACAATAATCATAGTTCATGTATTTTTTCCTCACATACTCAGAAAGTTTCTGTTCGTTGTGGCTTAGGGCGTGATTGGAAGGTGCTGTGAAGTCTGTCCACAGCCGTATGTTTTCCTAAAGCACTAAATCTACAGCAATCATGCTTTATATATATATTTCAAATCTACAGCCATTTTTGTTTGTTTTCCTTTTTTTGTGCTGTACAAAGCTCAAAACCTACAGCACTAAAATTTTGTCTTTGAAAAACTTTAAGGAAAATTAACGCTTTCTCTCTTCACTCTTCAATATTTTTATCTTTTGACATATTTCTTTTACGTAAGAGATTTTTTTTTTTATTATATAGGTTCAGACTTAGATTTATCTTAACTACATATACATACATATATACTTTATATATTAGTTATATGCATATAAGTATACAACTACCATTTAGATTTTTTTATTTTTTATTTTAAAAAAACAAAAATAAATATTAGTTTTTAAAAAATTATACTATCTAAATATATATGTAACTTATTATTTATTTTAATTCACTTTTTATTTATATGAAATAATAAGTTTATAATTAACACAAAAATACATAAATCTATAAACTACAGCATACAGCTGAACCAATCAGACTTTCATTTTAAAATGTTACAGGTAAAGCTAAAATATCTACAGCCAAAAACCTAAATCTACAGCCGAAAAATCTACAGCATAAATTCTACAGCTAAAAACATAAAACTACAGCTGTAACCAATCAAGCCCTTAATCTTTGATAGTTGCCTGCATTCCACCAGTAGTTGGAGGATTCACAAGCGGCAACATTATTACTCCGACCATCTATGTTGCAGCCGGATAGAGCGAAGTCTTGGAAATGAGCAATGAAAGGAGAGTATGACCAGTTAATCTTGGTCCGACCACCATCAGTCGCCCAATCGTCACCGTTCCAGAGACTGGCCTCGACTTGCATAGGCTTTGATGGATAACTTACGCCGTTCTCGTTTTTGTACACTCTTATTGGGATGTTGTCCACGTAAAACCTATCAATAATCATCATCATTTCATCTCTTTTGATTATAGATAATATATATATATATATATATGCACCGAATGACAAAATTTGAGACTCAGTTAACAAAACTGACTATGGCCTATGGGGCAATTTTTATTTGCAAAAATAACTTCAAATTGGTAAAAATGTGAAATGGTTTTTTATTTTTTTCCAAATTTTATGTGCTTTTTTCGATGATACATTATTTTTAACACGTTATTAATTTCTTCACATGATATGCAATTTACACATTATCCCGCTATTTGTTAAAATCACCTGAGAAAATTTACCTTCCTTAATTATGATATAATTAAAATAAATATTTTCTCCGTTTCAAGTTAGATATATTTTTAAAATATATATACATATATCTAAAAGGTTGCAAAATGACTAAAACATACGTCATCCAAATTATATTCTCAAATGTTTTGGAATTTCATTTTTCGAAATATTGAATTATTATTGCATTAAACAAACAAACTATGATCACTATATATGATAAAAGAATAGAGAAGGTAATAAATAAGAAGAAGGATTGTGAATAACGTACACAATTTGGTAAGGGTTCCAAAGAATCCCATAAGTGTGGTAGTGTTTGGTTGGGTTGAACCAAAGCAAAAACCTCTGTTCTCTGTTTCCTTCTCCATTCAGAAACAGATTTGTCTGTAATGTTATTGGTCTTCCGTTGTTGTTCCCTAGAAACTCAAAGTCAACCTCGTCATGACCACCTCCTTTCGTCGTCAACTGTAATTATTTTCATATATAAACAAATAAACAATCTAGCTATCGATATGAGTTTTGATGAATTAGTCTACGCATGTATGCATATTAGCATATATATATGTATATAATCAAGAATACAAACGTAAAAAGCTGTGACGACGCCGCCAGAATTTCCTCCGGGCACTTTGATTCTCATTTGGAAGAGACCTGATCCGTAGCTGTTCTTGGACTCGAACCCACCACCTGTTTCATGTAGAACTTAGTATTTAATTACATACCATATTGACCTGGGCGTTCGGCCCCCGATCGGGTTCGGTTCGGTATCGGTTCGGGTTCGGGTTTTAAAATACCGAAATTTTAACCCCATATGGATATTTTGAAAATTCAGTTCGGTATCGGTTCGGTATCGGTTCGGGTGTGTTCGGGTTCGGTTCGGGGTTAGTTTCCACCAAAATTTCTTCAGCAACTTGGTCTCCAATCAACCTACAAAGACGGTCAACAAACTCAGATGCCAAAAGCCAATAGAGATTTTGAGTTTGAGTAAGTTTGCAAAAGTCAATGTTTCATCACGAATGGTACTCAAATTCTTCGCTCTCCTCCTTTTGGCCACCCAGTCCTTAGCGCCACTAAGTTTCTCAATATTTGTCATCTTTTCGGTTCGAATATATTCCTTTGAAGCTTCATCTCTGTCTCTGAACATTGCATTTGTTTTAGAAGTCTAAGCTCTGCATTATTCATAGAAGTATAGAACAATGCATTTGTTTTTCTCTTTATTAAACTGGAGCTCCACATTTTCTCCAAATTACTGTTCTTTGTCACATTTCCCCAAATTTTAAAATAGTTCACATCTGAGTTGTGATGAATATTTTACTGTCCTGTTGAAATGTTTAGTAACACTAACTCGACCCAAAAAAAGCTGAGAGACGAGAAAGTTGAAAGAAAGTGTAATAAGTTAGGTTGCTGGAGTTTACACATCTATGTTCGTTCTCCTCTACTAACCACCAACGGAGTAAATTGGTAACATCACGGCGGATATTGTGTCGGGCACCAAATTGAATCCTTAGGGTTTCCGAGCATCGAAAATTTTGAAGTTAAGCTGGCAATTGAGCTTTTTGTTGTTCTTCCAGCTGCAAACATAACAGGGAGAAAAACAGTCAAAGGAAGAATTAGAATTAGGAACAAGAGGAAAAGATGAGGTAATTGTTACCTTAGGAAATAATAATAGAAGAAGTCGGCATAGAGCAGTGTTTGAACAAGACCGGTGATCCATGCTGCATCATCATAATCAAACATTTTTAAAATGTCAGATCACGAATAACAATCAGAACAACAAATATGAAAAATGTGAACCATGAGAGGCGATGATGCATTAGGCATTTTCCAGTATGAGAACCAACATGCTTTAACACAAAGAGGCTATATTTATTGTCTCTTGAATCCAAATGCTAAATTTAGTTGATCTTATGAGCAAGGAAAAGGGTCATAACCGACATCAATCATAGGTGCAAAACTTGACAAAATCTAATCCAATTAGGAAGAATATAAACAGATTCCCATGAGCTCAATTGTGCTAAATGTAAATGGCAAGGAAGGTTGAGGGGGAGAGAGAGAGAGGATCATACTTATCCAGTGAACAAAGTGTGGCTCAGTGAAGTAACGGTAGATCCAGTTGAGGATGTATAATCCACGGTAGCCCCTGCAAGAAGAAGACATTATTGGTATAGCAAACAAAGTATGAAACTTAGCGGATAACTAAATCATAAAGTTTGGTAGGAGAACAGTCAATAATGCAAAATAGAGCGGGATGTTATTCAAGAAAATACAACAGATAGCACATTAGTAGAACAAAATCGTGAAGTACCCAGACATGGACCGGAATGAAATATGGATCCAGTCAAGAGAAGTTCAGGGGAATGAAGAAGCAAGGATATATTTCAAATAAAGGGAAATTATAGAAAAAATATCGTACCCAAGAAGAAATATATATTGCCCGGTCAAGTTGTCAATGTTTCTAGTCCTTTGCAGCAAGACAAGCTGAGGTAATATGGCAACAGCCTCCAAGTACAATGAAAACGTCCACAGTACCTGATATCGTAAAACAGATACCAATTTCACAAAAATAAATCAGCCTATCAAACAAAATAGTTCAGACTCTCAAATTGCAATCTTTTCGAGAAGACAAACCTCAAGAAAGGTAAACTTTTCATGTATCAGAAGAGCTAAGAGTAAGCACGAAAGCACAAGGAACCAATGACGAAACGTATCTTGCTCCCTGTCGTAAGTCCTGTGGACGGCCTTATGATACCTCATGTACCAAACGATCGAAAAGGAACTTCCTAAGAACACCAACTTCATAAAGGTGTTATAGATAGACACAAAACTCGTGAAAATATCCAAATATCGAGTCGCAAAGACAATGGCATAGAGTTCTTGAGTCTTCACCTGCAAAATACCAAAACACAAATTGAAATTCTCATAGATACGTGTCCTCAAACATAGAATCAAATGTAATGATCCGATGAACTACATTTCAGGCCTCAATTACGTGAGATCAATTCATAAAACTTTCACCAATTGAATTTTCCTTTGATCAACACGGCTCGTGATCAATCTATCCTAAGTTCGTAAGTCGGCAACCAAATTACTACGATAACCCGAATCAGATCCATAATTTCTACAATTTGAACTAATCGTTTGAAACTCCCAAAATGAAAGAATCATAATCGAGTGAGATTCATATCGTCAACGTCAATTTTGGAAAAGCAAATCGAACAAACATCGAGAAATTCGTCTAAACCTAATCAAATTCAGCCAAATTCCGAGACGAATTGAGGAAAATGTACATACCAGCGCAGGATTTGATGGTGTGGATCTTGAGAAGCAAGACCAAAACACTGAACATGTGAGTCATATCACCAGCTAATCTGAAAATGTTCATCTTCGATCGCGATTAATCTTATCGTCTTCTGAAAATGGAGAAACAAAGATCTCTAGGGTTTTGCGAAGCTCCTTTTGCTTCTTTCTCTACACCACACTACGGGTTCGTGCTAGAGTCAAGTGGCTTAAGTTGGGTTAGTGGTTGTAGTTGTTTCCTATTTTCTCGTTTGAGTCAGTTCTTTCTTTGTAAGCCACTATAAAAGGCACTTGGAGTTCATTAATGAAGTCAAGGGATTCTCGTGCAAATCTGTTTTACACATTTGGTATCAGAGCAAACAGAGCAAATTTGATCCCAGTGAGAGAGAGGGAAGAAAGATGAGCGACGACAAAACACTCACGAAGATTCCTCATTTCGATGGCCACTATGATCATTGGAGCGAGTTGATGGAGAATCTTTTGCGAGCCAAGGGTTTATGGAGTTTGGTAGCCGACGGTTACACCGAGATAGCAGCAGGGGCTGAAGTAACCGCCGTGCAACAAAGAGATCAGGAGGATCTCAAGATGAAGGATCACCAGGTGAAGCATTTTTTGTTTCAAGCGATCGATCGCACGGTGTTTGAGCAGATTTTAGATCGGAGAACGTCCAAGATTATCTGGGATTCGATGAAAAGGAAATTTGGGGGCAATGAGAGAGTGAAGCGATCTCTCCTCAACACATTGAGAAGAGAGTTTGAGGTTTTATCAATGAAGATGGATGAAACAATCGATGACTACTTTGGAAGAGTAATGAAGGTTTCCAACAAGATGAGAAGCAACGGAGAAGAAATGCCGGATTCGAAGATTGTGGAGAAAATTCTTCGAACCTTGACTGAAAAATTCACTTATGTGGTGGTGTCAATAGAGGAGTCCAAGGACACGGGAAACATGTCCATTGATGAACTGCAGAGTTCTTTGTCTGTTCATGAACAGAAATTCAAGAAGACGCCTCTTGAAGAAGAAATGCAGGCTCTCAATGTTAATGCTCAAGGGAGGGGCAGAGGTTCCTTTAGAGGCCGAGGCAGGGGAAGAGGAGAAAGAGGTCGTGTTTTTAACAAAGCAACGGTTGAGTGTTACAAGTGCCACAACTTGGGACATTTTCAATACGAATGCCCAAAATGGAACAGTGAGGCACAGTATGCAGAGATACATGAGAAAGAAGAAGTCTTGTTAATGGCTTATGTGGAACTTCATGGAGCACAACGAAGTGATGCTTGGTTCGTAGATTCTTGGTGCTCGAATCACATGTGTGGAGATAAAGGCATATTCTCGGAGCTGGACACAAATTTCACTCACCATGTGAAGCTTGGAAACAATCATAAGTTGAATGTTGCTGGAAAAGGTGTGGTGGAACTTGTGCTTAAGGGAGTAAGCTATGCTATAAGTGATGTGTACTATGTTCCTGAGTTAAGGAACAATCTGCTGAGTGTTGGACAGCTACAAGAGAAAGGGTTGGATGTGTTATTCAAGGGAGGAGAGAAGAAGACGTGTAGTATTTTCCATCCAACAAAAGGAAAGATAGCTGAGTCCATCATGAGTGCAAACAGGATGTATGTGTTAATCGCTGAAACATGTGGGAATGAAGAAGAAAAATGCTTGCAGATTGATGTCTCCGACAAAACAGAGCTGTGGCATCATCGCTATGGTCACCTGAGCTACAAGGGCTTGCTCACTCTACATAACAAGGAGATGGTCGTGGGATTGCCAGAGATTCAACAAGTCAAAGCCACATGTGAAGCTTGTGTGAAAGGAAAACAACATCGGGTACCTTTCCCTAAGCAAAGCGCATGGAGAGCAACTGAGAAGCTGCAACTCATTCATTCAGACTTATGCGGTCAATCACTCCTTCATCAAACAGCCAGAAGAGGTACCTAATCAGTTTCATTGATGATTTCTCTAGGAAAACGTGGATCTATTTTGCCTTAGAGAAATCAGAAGCTCTTCATCATTTCAAGTTGTTCAAAGCATTTGTTGAAAAACAAACTGGAATGTTCATCAAATGTCTACGAACGGATAGAGGTAGAGAGTATAATTCTGGAGAATTTAAGGAGTTTTGTGACAAGAATGGAATCAAGAGGCAGTTGACTACTGCATACACTCCTCAACAGAATGGAGTAGCTGAGAGGAAAAATCGAACCATCATGAATATGCTGAGGACAGTTCTACGAGAGAAAGAGATACCAAGGTCGTTCTGGCCTGAAGCTGTACAATGGGCAAATCATGTTCTTAATAGGTCACCTACTGTTGCTGTGAAAGACAAAACTCCGGAGGAAGCATGGAGTGACAAGAAGCCATCAGTAGAGCATTTCAAAATGTTTGGATGTGTGGGACACGTTCACGTTTCCGATGTCAAGCGAACCAAACTGGATGATAAAAGTGTGAAATGCGTCTTACTAGGCTACAGCAGTGAATCCAAAGCTTTTAAGATGTATGATCCAATGGAAAAGAGAATTCACATCAGCCGAGATGTGATATTTGAAGAAGAGAAGAAGTGGGCTTGGAAGAAAAATCATTCGGCTGAACAAAATATGGAGCTTGAGTGGGAAAATAAACAAAATGAGGAGATTAATGAAGAAGGTGACAAAATGATGCAGAAGGTGAAGAGAATGATGCAGAGGATGAAAATGTTGAAGTTGACGCTCAGCCCCAGCCCCAATTTGGAGAAACCAGAGTTCGAAGACCACCGATATGGGCCGCCGATTATACTTCAGGAGAGGAGCTATCAGATGCAGAGGAAGAAATCAATATGGCAAAGATTGACGTTTTAAATGTTGATTTTCTTGCCTTCATGATAATTTCAGATCCCACAACTTTTGAAGAAGCGGTCAAAGATCAAAAGTGGAGAGAGGCGATGAATGCAGAAATGAATTCTATTGAGAAAAATCAGACATGGTCTCTCGTCTCATTACCGGATGGAGCTAAAGCAATTGGAGTTAAGTGGATTTACAAGACTAAATTCAATGAGCTGGGAGAAGTGGATAAGTTTAAAGCGAGGTTAGTTGTGAAAGGATATGCCCAGGAATATGGAGTGGATTACACAGAAGTTTTTGCTCCTGTAGCTCGAATGGATACTGTGAGAATGATCCTTGCTGTAGCTGCACACAGAGGATGGGGAATTTATCAATTAGACGTCAAGTCTGCATTCTTACATGGAGAGTTAGAAGAGGATGTATACATGGAACAACCCCAAGGCTATGAAGTCTCAGAAAAGAAAGAAATGGTCTACAAGTTGCACAAAGCTCTCTATGGACTAAAACAAGCACCAAGAGCTTGGTTTAGTCGCATCGAATCTTATTTCATCAAGGAAGGTTTCACAAGCAGTCCCAATGAACATACTTTGTTCATCAAGAGAATTGGAGGTAACATTCTGATTGTAAGTGTTTATGTTGATGATTTGCTATTCACTGGGAATAGTGCTGAGTTGCTGGAGGAGTTTAAGCGTTCCATGAAAAGGGAGTTTGACATGACGGATTTAGGGAAAATGAGGTATTTTCTTGGCATAGAGGTGATACAAAAACCAGAGGAAGGAATTTTCATTTGCCAAAGAAAATATGCTGCTGAGGTGATTGAAAGGTTTGGGATGCAACATCACAATCCTGTCTGCAATCCAATTGTTCCAGGTCAAAAGATTGGTCGTGACGTAGCCGGTGAGAAGATTGATGCAACACTGTACAAGCAAATGGTGGGAAGCCTAATGTATCTCACTGCAACACGGCCTGATCTAATGTTTGTGGTATGTTTAATCAGTCGTTTTATGGCATCTCCTACTCAATTACATCTTGCTGTAGCAAAGAGAGTTCTGAGGTATCTTAAGGGAACGTTGGACTGTGGCGTTTGGTACAAGCGTGGAGCAATGAGTGACTTGGTGGCATACACAGACAGTGATTATGCAGGTGATATAGATGATAGCAAGAGCACATCGGGTTATGTGTTTATGATGAGTGGAGGAGCTGTGTCATGGTCTTCACGGAAACAACCAATTGTGACACTTTCCACCACAGAGGCAGAATATGTTGCAGCTGTAGCTTGTGCGTGTCAAGCTATTTGGATGAGAAGGATACTAAAAGAGATCAGTCATGTACAAGCTGAAGAAATGGTGGTGCTCTGCGACAACACTTCAACTATCAAGTTATCTAAGAATGCTGTCATGCACGGAAGGTCCAAGCACATACGGGTACGTTACCATTTTCTGAGAGACTTGACAAAGCAAGGAATCATCACACTCGCCTACTGCAACACGGAGATGCAGCTTGCAGACATGATGACAAAACCATTGAAGCTTGTTTCATTTCAGAAGGCAAGAGCAGCATTTGGAATGATCACATTGAGTGAACTGAATCTCTCAGAGACTTAAGTTCAAGGGAGGGTTTGTTGGAGTCTAACTTTAGTTCTTTGTTTTTGTTCTGCTTTGCGTTTCATTTACTTTGGTTTTGCTGTTTACGGAGTCAATGTTCAGTTAGAGTCAAGTGGCTTAAGTTGGGTTAGTGGTTGTAGTTGTTTCCTATTTTCTCGTTTGAGTCAGTTCTTTCTTTGTAAGCCACTGTAAAAGGCACTTGGAGTTATTAATGAAGTCAAGGGATTCTCGTGCAAATCTGTTTTACACAAAAGGAAGAAAATGAAAGCCCATGACTTCTCGTAGCTGGGCCTAAGTTTTGGGTTAGCTAAACCGAATGCTTAATCAGATGTTGTCTCCCCAAAAGGTTCAAAGTTATGTTTATGTATATAACTGATGAAATTAGGTTTTTTTGTCTTACGTCACTTCTCGTAACAGTCTGACGCCGCAGGACTCATCGGCAATGTTCTAAAAGCGGTCTAGGCGGTCGCTTAGGCCCCGACTAGGCGCTAGGCTCTCATGCGACGCCTAGATAACCGCTTTGACTGCCTAAAATTACATAGATCTTGTTTAATGTATTTTTTCAATTTCAATTAGAATTTTATTTATATATATATAGTTATAAATATTTATATATTGTTTAATATAAATATAAATAAATGTTTTATCTAGTTTTTGTTTATAATTTCATAATTTTTAGTTTTATATAAATATTTTATATAACTTTTATATATATTATCATATTTATAATGTTTTATGTTATAAACGTCTAAATCGCCTAAAAATCGCCTAGGCCCGATTAGACGTTCTAGGCGCTAGGCACTGGATCACCGTCCGCTTAACCTCTACCGCTTTCTTAAACACTGCTCATCGGAGTTTCAGGTTCTTCTTCTTCTCTTCCTACACTCCATTTTCAAAAATCTTCGATTAGAATCTTTATATTCGTCTCTCTAAATCGTTACCAAAATCCATAAGAATTGATATCAGAGTTATTTTGATTTCTGATTGATTGTTTATTGAAACGAATTAGGAGGAGAAGAAGAATGTCTCACAGAAAGTTTGAGCATCCAAGACATGGTTCTCTTGGTTTCTTACCAAGAAAGAGAGCTAATCGTCACAGAGGAAAGGGTAAGTCTTTTTTTCTTCAAGTTTAGATTCATTGTTATTGAAATGCTTACTTGGGTTTTTATAAAGTTTCTATCTTTTTGAATTTGATAAAGGTTACTTTTTTTTTTTTTTTTGCTTACATGTTATTATTGGTTTATCAGTGAAGGCTTTTCCTAAGGATGATCAAACTAAGCCTTGCAAGTTCACAGCTTTCATGGGTTACAAAGCTGGTATGACTCATATTGTCAGAGATGTTGAGAAACCCGGATCCAGTAAGTGAATTTGTGTTTAATCTGATTTGGTTTTTAGTGATTTTTTGAGTTTTCAAAGTTTTTATTGTTGTGTAGAGCTTCACAAGAAGGAGACATGTGAGGCTGTTACTATCATTGAGACACCAGCTATGGTTGTTGTTGGAGTTGTTGCTTATGTGAAGACTCTGAGAGGTTTGAGGTCTTTGAACACTGTTTGGGCTCAGCATTTGAGTGAGGAGGTTAGGAGAAGGTTCTACAAGAACTGGGCTAAGTCTAAGAAGAAGGCTTTTACCGGGTACGCCAAGCAGTATGAGAGTGACGATGGCAGGAAGGGTATCCAGGCTCAGCTTGAGAAGATGAAGAAATACGGAACTATTATCCGTGTTTTGGCTCACACTCAGGTAATATAGCTTAGCGAATGTTTTAGAATTTTGTTCGTGATGACAATTCTTTTGTTACCTTTGTCTTTTCAGATCAGGAAGATGAAGGGGTTGACGCAGAAGAAGGCTCACATGATGGAGATCCAGATAAATGGTGGTACCATTGCATAGAAAGTCGACTTTGCCTACAGTTTCTTTGAGAAGCAGATCCCGATTGACGCTGTTTTCCAGAAGGATGAAATGATTGATGTGATTGGTGTGACCAAGGGTAAGGGTTACGAAGGAGTTGTTACCCGTTGGGGTGTGACAAGGCTTCCCCGTAAGACTCACAGGGGTCTACGCGAGGTTGCTTGTATCGGTGCGTGGCATCCAGCTAGAGTGTCCTACACTGTAGCTAGGGCTGGTCAGAACGGTTACCATCACCGTACTGAGCTAAACAAGAAGATTTACAGATTGGGCAAAGTTGGTACCGAGACTCATTCAGCCATGACTGAATACGACAGGTCAGTAGCATTTACTTTTATCTGCCTCTCTCGCCTGTGATTGCCACTCGACTGATTTTGATGTTGTGGATTTGATATAGGACTGAGAAGGAAATAACTCCAATGGGAGGATTCGCACATTACGGTATAGTGAAGGATGACTACTTGATGATTAAGGGTTGTTGCATGGGTCCAAAGAAGAGAGTTGTGACTCTGCGCCAGTCGCTGCTTAGGCAGACTTCTCGTCTTGCGATGGAGGTGATTAATATCAAGTTCGTTGATACCTCCTCCAAGCAAGGACATGGTCACTTCCAGACCAGCGAGGAAAAGGCCAAGTTTCTTGGTCGTAGTGCAACTGCAAAAAAGGCTTAAAACAAGTTTTCTCTTGTTTTATTAGCTCTTCTTTAGAAAGTCTTGAAAGATGATACTATTTTTTGAACCATCTGTTGCAATTTTGTGTTCTAGTTATTTGATGAGTTTGATTGAACATTTTGCTTCTTTTACTATTCTTTCCCAAATTTCTTCTAATTTAATTATTTAGAATCAGATTAGATAAGTTTTTTTATAAGACTCAAGTTTTACTGAGTTCATCCAAACCAATATAGCATCACTGGTTAGTTTTAAGTTAATAAAAATAGTTTTGAGGAAAACACATGAACTTTTTTAGAAAACCAAATCCAACCCAAAATAAACAAAACTGAATAGAACTGAAACGAAATTCATTTGAAACTAAACCAAAATATACTGAACAAAAAACACAAACCAAACCAAACACTACCCAAACACAACTTAACCGAACCGAATCCCATCAAAAAGGCTAAATCCCATTAACCGAACCGAACCGAATCCCGTTAACCGAAACTAAATTAACCGAATCAAAGTGTTGACTGTTGAGTGGATATTGCTTCATCTTCGTTTGCTTGTTTTTGTTATCTCCCAGTTCCTGGGTTCACGACGAGGAGAGTTGATATTTGCATATGAATTTATCTCAAAGACAAATCCTTTTAAGAAAATCTCACTCTTTGGCAAGTGCCCTTGTTACCAAATCACAAAATTCTATCCCCAATTCGGGTAGACATCTTGATTCGGATCTGATTCGTAATGCACATCAGGTGTTCGACGAAATTCCGGACTTAAATGTTGTTTCTGCTACAGCGGTGATTGGTCGTTTTGTGAAGGAAAACAGACATGTAGAAGCAAGTCATGCCTTCAAAAGGTTGTTGTGTTTGGGCATAAGGCCAAACGAGTTCACGTTTGGCACGGTCATTGGGTCTTCTACATCGTTGAGAGATGTCAAATTGGGTAAGCAGCTACATTGCTATGCGTTAAAGATTGGACTTGCGTCGAATGTGTTTGTGGGTAGTGCGGTTTTGAACTGTTATGTGAAGCTGAGTGCGTTAACAGATGCTCGTAGAAGTTTCGATGACACTAGAGACCCAAACATAGTTTCTATTACCAATTTGATTAGTGGGTACCTTAAGAAACATGAATTTGAGGAAGCCCTTTCGTTGTTTAGAACAATGCCGGAGCGAAGTGTTGTTACTTGGAATGCAGTGATTGGAGGGTTTAGCCAAACGGGGCAGAACGAAGAAGCTGTGAATACGTTTGTGGATATGTTAAGGGAAGGTTTGGTGCTGCCTAACGAGTCAACCTTCCCTTCTACTATAACAGCCATATCTAATATAGCGTCTCATGGTGCTGGTAAAAGTATTCACGCTTGCGCAATAAAGTTCTTGGGGAAGCGATTCAATGTTTTTGTTGGGAATTCTCTGATTAGCTTTTACTCAAAATGTGGTAACATGGAAGATAGTCTTCTGGCTTTTAACAAGCTCCAAGAAGAACAACGGAACATTGTATCTTGGAACTCTATGATATGGGGTTATGCGCACAACGGAAGAGGAGAAGAAGCTGTAGCTATGTTTGAGAAAATGATCAAAGACACAAACCTGAAACCAAACAATGTGACACTTCTTGGACTATTATTTGCGTGTAACCATGCAGGCCTGATACAAGAAGGATACACGTATTTTAACAAAGCGGTGAATGATTATGATGATCCAAACCTGATACAACCAGAGCACTATGCTTGTATGGTGGATATGCTCTCTCGGTCAGGCCGTTTCAAAGAAGCTGAGGAGCTTATTAAAAGTATGCCTCTTGACCCGGGAATCGGGTTTTGGAAGGCATTGCTTGGGGGATGCCAGATTCACTCAAACAAGCGTCTGGCTAAATTAGCGGCGTCTAAGATCTTGGAGATGGATCCCAGAGATGTTTCATCATACGTTATGCTTTCAAATGCTTACTCTGCTTTGGAAAACTGGCAGGATGTGTCACTAATACGGAGGAAAATGAAGGAGACGGGTTTAAAGCGTTTTACGGGATGTAGTTGGATTGAAATTAAAGGCCAAGTTCGTGTCTTTGTGAATGCTGACAAGAACAACGAACTTAAGGATGAAGTCTATAGGATGTTGGCATGTATTACACAACAGCTTGATGAAGATGAATGTTGGGAAGACTTATGAATGCAACTCTTAACATGTATAACAATCTTCCTCGAGCGCTTCTATGCAGATCTCGCAAAAATATTTTACCATTGCAGCAATCAATCAGTATCAAAACGACACCATCACTTAGTTTGGGTTGGATCTCCATTTTTGCCCGAAATTATAGCTATATATCGAACTTATGTCTACACCGACTTGAAAATTATATCTTTTACACACCAACTAAACAAATATTTTAGTAACAGAACACGTAGCTATGATAGTATTAGTACATAACATAATTAACACCATTTTATATGTTGTGAAATTAAAAGTAATTTACCGAGTTTCTTGGTATCACGGCGATGAGAATGGCATTGAGGATGGGGCTAGTGATGACGATGATGATTGTAATGGTGATGACAATGGTGACAATAATGGTGGTGGTGGCGGCTTTGGAATATAATAGCCATGACCGGGACCATCTCTGATACTTCGACCTCTACTTGGATTACTTCTTGATGGTTGTGATTGTATCATCTTTACTCTCCATCGATATCCTATTTAATTAATAATGTTTAAAACAAAAAATACCAAACCACTCATTTAAAAAAATTATTTGAGAAAACAAACTAGCTAGAATCAAGAATTTAAAACTTATGAAAACAAAATATCTTAAAACTATTATCATAATATACTTACGAAATTTGTTGGGATTTTCTAAGGAACAAATGTGTACATATATTTTAATTAATTTTGCATTATGATATATTTTTTGGGATAACTAATCAATGTGATATATTTTTCAAGCACTAACCGGTTAATGGCAATAACTCTTGTGGAGAAGCAAGAGCACGGTCGATAGAGCAGGAGACCAAGATAACCACTAGTAGCAAGAACACAAGTCTCAAATTTGGCTGATTCTTCTTTTTCATCTCTCTCTATTTCCCTCTCCCTCTTCTCCTCTCTCTTTTTTTTTTTTTTTTTGGGCAAACTCTCTACCTCTTTGCTAACGAAAGAAAACCGCGTAGCAAAATATGAATTTTTTGAAGACTCATTAATTTAGTCAACGAAAACCAAAGTCCCTACCACACATTTTTTTTTTGTCCCTACGACACTTAATCATCTCCAACCAATAACGTTGCAGTTATCATGAAGAATGCTCTCCAACTTTACATCTACTTTGATTTTGTCATATTTATCGCTAGCCTCTATTGTCTTAAACTCTTCTAACAAAAGTTATATGAAGTCAAGTTTTTTTTTGAATTTTTTAACCATTAAACATGCATTTAGATATGACCTCACTTTAGTTATCTAAATTTTCAATATTTCGATAGTGTTTTACTAAACCAAATTTTCTACAATAAGAGTAATTTGGTCAGGAATCTTAAGATGATTACTTCATTTAGAAGGTGATTTTTCATACCATATGAATGCATGATGTGTGTGGAATTGATGTCATGCGACCCTTGTTTTTTTTTTTTTGACCAAATGGATCCTTGTTTTCAATTATTAGATTCTTGTAGTTGTGGATTATGTCTCCATATATATATAGAAGCTATACCTATCTCAGCCAATGATGCTAAGATAGTTTTGAAAATTTTCGAAAACATACTATTTCCGAAGTTTGGGATTCCAAGAGCGATGATAACTGATGATGGAAGCCACTTCATCAGTAAGGTTGTTGAGAACTTGCTAAAACAAGATGGAATTAAGCATAAATTATATTAAAGTAGTAACACCTTATAGTCCCCAAATAAATGGCCAAGTCAAGATAGCTAATGATGTTGTGTGATTTATAACATAAGGTTTTAAAATTCTTTAGTAATCACACAAACATGTTGCAAATGCTTTGAGGTAGTGTTTGAGGTATCGACTCCATATAGATTTGACAATTGCACTACGAATTTAAAGAAAACGAATTAAGCTAGAACAAACTGCAGGCTTTGTTGGTGATTGCGAGAAATAAAGATGTAACTAATAAAAACTGATGTTAAGCATTCAGGGTAATCGCAAAGAATATAATATGCAACAATACTATATATGAATTGAATAAAATTTAATTACAAATGATCCTAAACTCAAGAGACGATTGTATAGTCTTTCCACTTATGAGGTTCCAACCACTATGTTTCAACATCTTAATAGGCTCAACTGTCATAGGTTATTATTATAAAGTGAAAACATGCGATAACCTGTTCAGGTTGTGATGAAGTCCACTAAACTCCTAAACTCAACTTCTGCATGTTAAGATGCGTATCTCGTTAAATACTAGTGATGGAAATCTAACAACACTATTATTGGGTATATGTGGATGTCGGATCCGGACAATTTAGAATTTATAATAAAATATGAGTTTTAACCTCTCAAAGACAAAATAAACGAAATTAATGAGATAGTATGAAATTTGCTTTATTCCTTTGGAGAATAAGAATTAACAATAAGACAACAATATTTAGACTAAAGTTTTTCGATCCCCCTACAATTTTCTTCTTCTCCTATTTATAGCTAGACTTTGTCGAAATCGCGACAATAATGGTTAATTATTTTGATTTCCCATTCATTCGCCGTTTTTGATTTTGGTCTTAATACTCATAATTCCTAGTTTGAATCTTTATTGGGCTTGAATGGACTGTCTTTGAAAGATATTTATTCAAGCCCAACTCTTGTTTTTTTTTTTTTTTTTTTTTTTTTTTTTTTTGCTTCAATTCTCAAGATAAATTCCCGTCGCTGCTAAAAAAAAAAGTTTTCGTCTCTTCTTCATTACTCTATGCTCTATTGTAAGTTTCAATATTATCTAAATTTTTCTCGAACTTGACACTCCGTGGCTAAGTTCCTGAGTTTTACTTGAGTTGCTTCTACGACAACTACTCAAATTCCTTCATATATTTGCATTTTGTGTCAAAGTTTTCTGTTATTACGGACTCCTTCCTTCTACAAATTCTCTTGGTGGACATTCTCATTGACCATCACGTTTTTACCATAGTTCTTTACTTGATCCAAAAAACTCTACAAACATATTAGGGATACTCTTATCCCTAAAGATACATACCTCTTGCATGGAGGCGCTTGGACTCTCAATGACATCACCTCATACATACGTTCCTCTTAGAGATCTTGCTTCCATAGTCATCTAGCCTTAAAATAACTAAAAAAAATAGTAATAAAAACATATGTATTGTCCATGTTGTACATGTCGGGATTTCAGAGTTATTCATGTATCTCAAGTTTGGATGCACTTATATGGGGAAGGGTTTATGCCGGGGTACAAAGTTTGGTTTATGCATGGTTAGAATGAGTCAATGGTGAATTATGGTAGTTGTAGCGAACATTATCCTGCTGATAGGTTAGAAGAACCAACTGTGGAAGTAGATGCAAATGTTGGTATTGTTCAGATGGTGGATGATGATTTTCGTGAAAATGTACATTCGTTTGATGGGGATAGTGATAGAGTACATGAACCTAATTTAGAAGCATGAAAGTTTTTTGATATGTTAGATTCAGCTAAGAATATGTTATATAGAAGATGTAAAAAAGGTCATGTACCTTTATCTGCTGCAACCAAGTTGATCGGTATCAAGACGGATTACAATTTGTCCGAGGATTGTGTGGATGGGATTACTGATTTTGTGAAAGATTTACTACCGGAAGATAATCTTGCACCGAGTACGCACTACGAGGTACAAAAATTAGTAGCTGGTCTTGATTTACCATATCAGGTGATAGATGTGTGCATTGACAATTGTATGCTGTTCTAGGTAGGAGATTCAGATCGCTTGACATGTAAGTTTTGTCGCAAACCTCGGTATTGGGAAACAAGTGGAAGAGTCTCAATTCCATATAAACGGATGTGGTATTTACCATTATCAAAGACGTTGAAGAGGTTGTATCAATCTAAGTGCAAAGCATGACCAATGAGATGGCATGCAGAGCACACAACAGATGGAAAAATTACGCATCTCTCAAATGTAGAAGCATGAAAACATTTTCAAACAATGCATCCTAGTTTTGCTAATGAGCGAAGGAATGTATAACTTGGATTATGTACAGATTGATTCAATCCATTTTGGAAGCATGGGAGGCAATACTCATTGTGGCATGTTATCATGACACCTTACAACTTGCCGCCATCATTATGTATGAAATGAGAGTTTCTGTTTTTGCCTATCCTCGTTCATGGCCCTGATCATCCTAGAAAATCAGTTGATGTGTTCCTACAACTACTTATATACGAGTTACAAATGTTATGTGAACATTGTGTTGAAGCATTTGATGTTTCATGCCAACAAAATTTTGTCATGCGTGCGGCACTTATGTGGACCATAAGCGATTTTCCTGCATATGGTATGATATCTGGATGGACAACGCATAAAAAATTATCTTGTCCGTATTATCAAGATAAAACTAATGCGTTCCAATTGAAGCACGAACGGAGAACGTGTTGGTTTGATTGTCATAGGAGATTTTTACCATAGTAACCATCTGTATCGTCAAAGCTCCACTTTGTTTACGAAGAAAAAAAAGTTATTGATGGGCCACCTCCTAAGTTAGATGACACTTATTGCTAACTCAATTACGAGATTTTGGTGCGGCTACGTCAGTTGAGGTTGGTGGTAATGGGCATGATCTTTTTGACGATTATGGAGTGCATGACAACTTGATGAATACTGTCTTAAATGTGCACGGTAAGAGGAAAGATAATTTGAAGTCTAGATTAGACTTACCATACATTTGTTCTAGGAAGAAGCTTCATATTATGCAGAATGGAAAACGACCAATTCATGCGTTCCGATTAGATGCGTCTTAAAGGAAGAATTCTTCGATTGGATAATGCCTACTATTAAATTTCCAGACGGATATGCATCAAATCTTCGTAATTATGTTGATCACGGAGAAGAGAAGTTTTGAGGGATGAAGAGTCATGAATGTCATGTTGTTATGCAGCGCCTTCTTCAATTTGCTTTTGCCGAGCTTCTTCCACCAAATGTTCATGGTGCAATTGCAGGTACATTTACATTGAATTATTTATATTTCTATAATTATAATTATTATATAATCTGTTAAATAATTAATATTTTAATTATTATATAATTTGTATTTATAATTTTAATATTATATAATTTGTTAAATAATAATAAATTTTTTTTATGAACTAATATGCAGGTATAGGCATTTTCTTCAGGGACTTATGTGCGCGATCACTCACAGTTGATGCTATCCAAAATTTGGAGGAAAAGATACCGATTCTCCTCTACAACTTGGAGAAGATATTTCCACCGTCTTTCGTTGATGTCATGGAACATTTACCAATTTATCTCCCTCGGGAAGCAGCACTTGGTGGCTCTGTTCAATACTGATGGATGTACCCATTCGAGCGTTATATATTCTATTTGAAGAAAAATGTGAAAAATTTGTCACGAGTAGAGGGTTCTATTGTTGCCCAGTGCATCAACGAAGAAACCTCAAACTTTTCAGAATATTACTTTCCTTCACATGTCCAAACCAAGTGTCGCCGACCTGCACGACACGACGATGGTGGTGAGAAACCATATTATCCAGTCGACGTCCCAAATATATTTCTACCAATTGGGCGACTTAGTGGAAAATTCAAGAAGCGTCGACTAACAAAAGAGGAGTATGATCACTTGCATATGTATGTGCTTACGATGAGAGAGAAAGTTCTTGAATTCGAGAGGTATATAATATATATTACTTAACAATCCAATAAGTTTTATAAATTAATATATATATATATATCTTACTTAATAGTCCAATAATTTTATTAATTATTATTTATTTAATTTATACGATTTATAAGGCTCAAGTACGGTGTGAGTATCTACTTTTCACGGAAGATGTAGTTGAAACCCTTAAAGAAAGCGAGTTTCCACGTTAGTTGAAGTTTTATGTAAGTTTTATCATGATATTAATTGATTATTGAATTTTATATTAATATTTAGTTTTGATGACCATTCTTTTTTCAAGTAATGACTGGATCTTCTAGAGGTCAATCATTTCCAGTTTGGTTAGAAGATTTGGTGAACGGGCCAGTTTACATTACAAAGCATATCCAATGTATTGCA